GTAAGGGGTTATATGGTCGCAGAAATTGTTTCACGGCCATGATTGGGTTCTAATGCTTGTGTGGCATGGTGCAAAGTTCTGTTGCCAAACATAGGGTCTTCCAGCAGCGACCCGCTCAACCCTGTGCAGCACTACATCCTCAAGGGACTTTTGTGTTGAGTCTGAGGCCCTGCAGGAAGATGAATTGAGGCATAAACTTCTCCATCACTAGTGATCATTCCAAACACATTGATTTTGACTGGATATTTGGTTATCATCACTCTCGGTATATCTTTTGGGGACACAGGAAGCCAACGGTTGTTCTGTGTATTCACCAACTTAGCCTGGGATAGATTTTTGTCGTCTGAGAAAGACCAAAGCATGTTCAGTTAAAGGGGATGCTTAAGTATGCCCAAATGCTTCGTATCGCGTTTTTTCCTCTTGTCCTTTATAGCTTAGGATAATAACTGATCTTTTCTCATCTTGTATGAGAAATACCAAATGTCTTTATGCACTACCCTCTCAGATAAGACACTCGGACAATCCCGTTTCCCTGATTATGGGCCTGGCCTGGTTCTCACCAACAAATTCAGGAGTTCTTTTCTTATTAATACGAACAGAGTGAGCTTCCGAGCTGCCGTACGTTCGTAATCACCATGAGACTCATCCAACTGTTTCCAGATTCTCTGTAATATCCTCAAATTGACACCCAAACACTCCGAAATGTTCGTATTCGAGCTTCCGGTGCGAATGCCAAGCAGTACAGCATGCTGTTTCCAAATTTCCGGTGGAGTGAATTGCATCATGGTGCTCTTTTTCACACAGACGGTGCCCAACTTACATTACCATACTGTGCAGCCGACAAAATCAAAAACAAACAACGCGCATGCGCGAAATTAAAAATATAAAATGTCAACAATTTATTCATCGCACCCTTTAGATATATATACATGCATACACAAACACATATACATGCATACACATACACACATACATACAAACGCGCGCGCACACAAACACACACACGCGTGTATCTGTGCTTTGTTATTAATATATTAATTAGTGTTTAAATGGTAAAGTGATTTTTTCCCAAATGTTAGCGTATTAATCATGGGTGGTTAGCTTTATGGAGTATTTTCTTTGTTGTTTTATATATATATATATATATATATATATACAATCTAACACACACACGCGCGCACTCACATATAACATAAAATACACGCACAAGCGTATACGCACACATATATATTTCTAAATAGTAAATTAAATATTTGTTTATCTGTTGTCATTTATTTACTGTTTCATTTTTGTTTAGTAACTAGTAGTTTTTTGCTTTGCTGTTATCTTAAATATTGAGGTATTAATTATGGAAGCTTAGTTTTGTTGTTATGTGTGTGTCTCTCTCTCTCTCTCTCTCTCTCTATCTCTATATATATATATATATATATGTGTGTGTGTGTGTATATTTAATGTTTGTTAGTTTAATTTTGTTTTATATTTGTTTTTATTTATTTATTTTACTGTATTTATTTCTATTGTTATTTCTTTATTTTTATTTATTTATTTCATTTTTATTTTTAAATTAGTGGCTAACTGACACACACACACATACACACACACATATATATATATATATATATATATATATATATATATATATATATATATGTATTTAGGCAGCAATCCCTCTTTTATATATGTTTCGTTAAAGACGACTGACAAGCAACAGGGATTAAACTTTTATTTAATTTTTCTTGTGTTCGTACAAGTGTTTTCTTTTCTGGACAGAAAGCGTGTAAAAACTCTCCAAATTTTCTACATTTTCGAGCGTTTTCGGCTATACGTTTAGCTATTACCAAGAATGATTTTATTTTTACTTTTTAACTGGGTTGTGTGTATATATTTAGAATTATAGGGAAGTTTTATTTTTCAAACACGGCCAGCACATTGTGGACGTGTTCATAGTTAATATTATTGAGTGTTGGCTTTTTCTTTTTATGATTAGTGCTTCCATTATTTTTAATCTTTTGTTTACATATGGATGAGTTTACTGTGCTTGTATTTTCTACTTTTATGTTTTGGGTGGAGTCTTTTATGTTTGTGTGTGTGCTTAAATGAGTTCTAATAGAGCTGTGGTGGATGGGTGTGACGTATGTCGTCTGGATACGAATGTATATATATATATATATATATATATATATATATATATATATATATGTATATATGTATGTATGTATGTATGTATATATATATATATATGTATGTATATATATATATATATATATATATATATGTATATGTATATATGCATATAATATATATATATATATATATATATATATATATATATATATATATATATATATATATATATGTATATGTATATATATATATATGTATGTATGCATATATGTATATATATATGTATATATATGTATATATATATATATATGTATATATATATATATGTATGTATATATATATATATATATATATATATATATATATATATATATATATATATATATATATATATATATATATATATATATATATATATATATATATATATATATATATATATATATATGATCCTCGCTAAGAGGCTGGAAAATGTTCGGTTCCTTGTACCGCTGCAGAAACTACTTGACTCCTGCAATGCTCTATGTTTATAAGAATCAGATCAGACTCAAAATAGGGTATTTCTGATATATATATATATATATATATATATATATATGTGTGTGTGTGTGTGTGTGTCTGTGTGTGTGCGTGTGTGTGCGTGTGTGACTGTAGTTGCTCGATCTTCATTCTCCAATATTGACAGACTTAAAAAGACATTCACACAGCCTTATTTTCAACCCTGCACCTCCTTTCAATAGACAAAACGTTGCAAATATCTCGCTACTCTATAGATATTTACTTGGCAAATGTTCTGACAATATACGCTCCATGTTCCACCAGTTCAGATCTTTACTAGGGCCTGCCATGCCACTTATTCTGGAAATAACCATCCTCATTCGCTGCATATTTTGAACCCTGTCATGGCTGGCAAGTCAGGATTGGACTGCTCCAGCCCAGATATTCCAGCAATAATCTGTTTTGGGTTTGATCTAATCTTGAAAATGAACACGAGAGGCGTTAGATACTTTCTGGGGCGATACAAGGAACGGGTTATTTTTCTAGCATCTTTAGCTATGGATGACTTTTACGAGTTCTACCTGAGGTGTGGAGTAAGCTTGAATCCCAATAAACCTTCAAGGCAAGGGGCTTCATTGACAGTACAACTGTTCATCATACCTAGAGAGAAATGAGGATTTGCTCTATGATGATGAAATGTCATCAGTTTGGTTTGGAGGTACTGATTGATTGAATTGTTTGTTTAACGGTATATCAACTCCTTATGGGTCATTTAATGCCAAAATTTAATATTCTTGGGAGTTTTGAAGTAATTAAAATGTTATTCTGCTTTCGCAGTTGAATACATGGTAGATGATACTCGGCTTTTGTGAATGTAAATGTTTGTACAGTCATGATTACTAAAGGCCGTGACATGTGTGTTTTAGGTTGTAGTTTTATTGAAGGTGTATTTTAGAATACACTTTGATCTAAGACATTGTAGGATATTATATAGATTAATGTCATGAAAAGTTCTTTCATATTGGTTGGTTGTTCGATTTTGTTTAGCGGAAAGTCAACTGCTATAGGTTATTTAATGTCGATATGTAAATAATTTCAGCACAATTTTATGGATTTAGATAAATATATTTTGAATGCAGTTGTATGTCTTCAACTACAAATAAAACGTATTGCTGGTCATCATAAAAATGTATTGTTGGTCATTTTTTTATGCACCTGATCATAGTATTAATGATGATAATGATGATGACCATGAACATAGAACTGATGATGATCATCATCAACATCATAGAACTGATGATGATCATCATCATCATCATAGAACTGATATTTTTACTATAATAATGTAGTTTTATATTTTCATGGTGTTTTGTTGGAGGGGGGGTCATTATTTGTCCATAGCTGGGATCCGAACAAGTGCTATCGCTCCGGGTCAGGGTGGACATGGGAACAATAGCAATTAAGAGTTGGTTCCATGCTCCTCACCCACACTCCACCAATCTCCCGATCAGAGCGCTTTCTGCCGGATGTAGTTTATCGTCATACCAAGGAGCCGGCAGGTACTGAAGGTTTAAAAGCCTGTTTTCCTCCAATTGAATTGTGCAAGCAAGAACAGAGGATAAATGAGTTGGCATTAAATTGCTACAGTAACTTATTCTTTTTATTTTATTTTTGACAACAGCCTCTGGATGTGCATGTCACATTTATTTGTAAAATCGAACCTAAATATTTTGCACTCTTCTTAACGCTTCACTAGTCTACACTGCACTGTCTGTTATTATATTTCATTATTGCAATCTTGCTACCTTAATTTGTAATGTGGCTTTCAGTCGAGTGGCAAAGGGGGACATCGAGTCATGCAGTCTATGAGGACCATGAATGACCACGAGAGAAATCTGAGAAAGTCATAAAATCACAAATAATAACGTAATTAACATTTTTATTTTACATTATTCGGATTAGGGCCATAGCCATTGGTTCACCAATGTGTCCGTAATTAAGGTGAGCCTCCAAGTCAGAGGACATCTACTACCGACTGACCTGGAAAGGGATAGGCTCCGCTAGGTCTACTTGCACAAAAAAAAACGCCACACATAAATGAATACCTTTCCAAATTTCAACCCTGATGTTGGCACACAGCTGGAATATGCAGATAGAATTGGCCCGGTGCTCGGTGACGCAACGACTCTAAGACCGCACCTGATCATAGGACTAATGATGATAATGATGATGACGATGAACATAGAACTGATGATGATGATGATCATCATAGAACTGATGATGATGATGATGATGATGATGATGCTGAGGATTTGGAATTTTACCACAATTGAACATCTTTACATGAAAAAGATGAAAAATCCGCCAACTCTTCCTTCATGCCTGCCCAAATAGTGGGAGGGATGAAGGAGCAACAAATTCCACATTCTTTTCTCTTTCACTTAAACCTTCTTTCACACATTTCTTCTACGTTCTCTGTGACTCTACATAGAGCCGGCGCAGTAGTAGTCATGAGTCTTCTCCGTTTATATTACTCTATTAATGTCGCTTGTTCACAATTTATCTTAACAAATGAGGTACTGGAATATCTTTCAAAAAATCGCGAGTGCAAAGAAGATAATAAAAATTATCAATAAGCAAACATTTTTATTTCATGAAAATAATTTATCTTGAAAAAGAAATCAGGCATGCGTTGTTTACATAGTGCCTTTGCCAGTGTTTTTGATCATGTATCTTTTTCCCGCCTTTTTCACACATCTTTTTCACATCTTTTTCACGTCTCTTCCAAGGGCTATTGTTTATTATTATCTTGATATATTCGGTTCTGATAAATTTGTCCTGGGTTGCAATAAAAGTTTCTGCTTCACTTTTCAGATATACTATGTCTTACAATGTCCATAACTGTCTACGATTTCTATCTGCACGAGACAGTTTTTCTTGAATAAGGGTCCCTACCAAATCATGTATTTTATATTATATCTGGGCTAAAATGTCTTTCCCCATTTTCGTTTCCTTGTTTCTGTTATGGCCTAGGGCCAGATATAAAGACACAAGAGAAGAATCTGAGTTAAACAAATATATTAACAAAAAAACAGCAATACAAACGAGAGTATTATAGCGAGAATATTCGGTCCGACTATCATAGCTGACTGCTGGAAACTTCCCCCTCTAAAAGGCAGTACCTGCTCTTATTTATAGCTGGGAGAGTCCATGCGTGCATGGGTAAATTACCGTAACAGTTTCGTTCGTAACTTTCCCTACTCTTATCTATGGAATAGTTGGATGTATCAAATAAAATTGATGCTCTCAGTTTCCAAGAAATTAATATTGTTGTGGTAGGATCCACCTAATTTGCATAGTGGAGTACCGACCATATAAATATGGTTGGTACCGGGAAGACGAGGTGAGGAATCAAGAGATTCAATCCAGAGACTCTGCCCGGATCATGACTAAGTCAACCCATTCTCCAGGAACGGTCTTCCCAGGAATATACAAAAGACTATATGTAAATATTGTGTACACTTTCTTGTTTCAATACATTTTGTTCTAAGTACATTTTGTGTTGTATTATTATTCCATGCATTAGTCAAGTTTCAACAAATATACTACACTTTCCTTAAAAAATTGTTTTAATAGAAATATTTTATAACTTTCAACCAACAGTAGGACTAGCTGCTAGGTCAATGGATGTCAAATGTTTCCTTATAAGGAAACGGCTAATATTACCGTTACCATTAACTTTTTATTACTATTTTTACTCCATTTTATTATTGTTTCATTCATCATAAAGCTTTTAATCGATACGACTGATATTTTGTCCTTTCTTCTTGCTTTACTCTTCGAGATTCTATAAGAATTCTTGTAGTTTCCTTTCAGTGTCTGCTATATCAATGTGCCATCTGTGTATGTTATGTTCTCAAGATTATGGCCGCTTATAACGAATCGTGCTAGAACTTCTAATTCGCTCAAGATTTCCCCTCCCTGTAAAGTTTGAATATGTCCGGTGAGATGAAACACCCTTGTCTTACGCCCCTTTCTATTCTTATATATCTGCTGAATTTATCTTTTATCCGTATGCAGGCGGTTTGCTTCCATTATAAATTCTGGATTATTGTAATATCTTTCCCAAATAAATCAAGCTATTCAAAAGTATACCAAACAAGTTTGGTAAAGGTTTGTTACTGGTTCGTAAACTGACTTTATGTTGTAGTAAAAAAAATATCAAAGTGGGGTATCTTATTGTCGCATTTATCATAAAACTTTCGATCAATATAATTGATGTTTAGTCCTTTCTTCTTGCTTTCCTTTACTATCATCGGTAAGAGCTCTTGTAGTTTCCTTTCTGCTGTCATCAATGTATTATCTGAATATCTTATGTTGTCAAAATTGTGGCCGCCTATAATGAATCGGGCTAGGACTTCTAATTCTCTCAGGATTCGCCCCACTGTAAAGGTCGAATATGTCCGGTGGGATGGCACACTCTTGTCTTACGCCCCTTTCAATTTTTGAATATCTGCTGAATTTATTTTTCTATCTGTATGCAGGCGGTTTTTTTTCCATTATAAGTTCTGGATTATTGTAATATCCCTTCCCAAATATACCAAGCTTACCTAAGCATGTTCTGTTTTATTGATCGAATCAGTTTTAGATTTAACAAATTGGAAGGTGTGAGAAAACGTATAAAACGCCAGTTACAGTTTACATTGACACATTGAAATTACAGAGACGCTCGGTTTTAAACCCCACCCACCCGGTTCATTCGAGAGGTAAGAGTATCTTGATTATACTTTTATCGCCTGTCACCCTGTTTCAAACAGTTTTCACATTTCCATTGGTCGTTTCTTCATTTCTTTCATTATTCATTCCTTTCTCTATTTTTTAGTTACCCGTTTCTTTCTTTCTTTCTTTCTTTCTTTCTTTCTTTCTTTCTTTCCTGTCTTTATTTTACTCATTTCAATAGATTTGCTTTCTTCTTTCTTTTTTCTTTGTCTTTATTTTTCCCATTTCAATATATCTTCTTTCTTTCTTTCTTTCTTTCTTTCTTTCTTTCTTTCTTTATATTACCCGCTATGATTGACTGTTTGTCTTTCTTTCTTTCTTTCTTTCTTTCTTTCTTTCTTGTCTTTTCTTTACTCATTTCAATAGATTTGCTTTCTTCTTTCTTTTTTCTTTGTCATTATTTTTCTCATTTTAATATATCTTCTTTCTTTCTTTCTTTCTTTCTTTCTTTCTTTCTTTCTTTCTTTCTTTCTTTCTTTATTTTTCTCATTTCAATGTATCTTCTTTCTTTCTTTCTTTCTTTCTTTCTTTGCTGCTTTCTTTCTTTTTTCTTTCATGATTTCTTCCATTACTCGTTTCTTTCTTACTTTCTTCCTTTACTCTCTTCTTTTGTCTTTTTTAACCGTTTCTTTCTATCATTGCGCCTTTCTTTCTTTCTTTCTTTCTTTCTTTCTTTCTTTCTTTACTTTTTACTTTTTACTCGTTTCTTTCTTTATTTCTTTCATTGAACGCTTCTAACATTCTTTACTCCTTTCTTTCTTTTTCTTTTTTACTCGTTTTTTTTTCTTTTTTTGCTATATTTCTGTCACTGCTAGCTTCTTTCTTTATTTCTTTCATTGTTTATTTCTTACTTCATTTTGTTTTTGTTACTCGTTCCTTTCTCTAGATTATTCTTGTTCTTTTGAATGGCCTCTCTTTCACTTTGTTCCATCATTCCTTCTTTTGTTCTTATTCTTTTTCACTTCTTTCTTCCTCTTCTATTTCTGAGAGTTCAGTTCGTAACACTTTCATTTTTCTTCTATCTCCTTCCTTCAACTACACCTTCCCATTCATTTCCTTTATTCCCTTCCTCTCTTTTCTCTTTGCCTCTAAACCCCACTGTCTGCCCACATTGAACAGATTTTCATTCATTCCATTTCGATATTGTTACACCAAAAACTAAAAACGAAAACAGAAAAAAAAAAAGAAAAAGTAAATAAACAAACTCCTCTTAAACGAATTCTTTATTCAAATATTCATTCACTTGATTTCCCAACATTTCGATTCTATTCGCAAAGTATCTGCACTTCTGCTTACCAATTAGCGACGCCGCTGTCTGGTGGTCAATTGCATTAACTAAAACAACACTGCACAACAAATGCCGACAACAGAGATAACGAATGAATGCGACTACACAGAATCACTCTCTTTCACACACATACACACTTATATATTTATGTATGTGTGCTTCTATATATATATATATAATAACAAAGAGCTTTTACGCCTAACAAAACACGTCGGCAATTACTTGAAGACAACGGGTAGTACAAGGGGGGGGGTGCAAACAAACTTTCAATATTTAAAAAGAAAACTATATCAACAAAAGTGAAAGATAAATAAAGTTTCAAATAACTTATATTCTGAATCTAGTTTTGCAAAGACACAAATCCATACGTCGGAGTGAGATGAATCGATTGGACTTTTGTTTATGAATTCATTATATAGATACATACATATATATATATATATATATATATATATATATATATATATATATATATATATATATATATATATATATATATATATATAAATGCACGTCTACGTACGCCGTTATAATTACATAAATAAAGGTCTATATATAACATAGTTGGTTCACAGCGAGAAAGTGTTATTCCCAACGATAAAGTTAATTTCTGTTTTAAGATAGGAAAAACTGCTCTTTTGTTCTTTTCGAAGAATTTTTTCGAATTTCCTCATTTGATAGCCATGGAATTTATTTATTGAATTTAGAATCAAAGTGTCAACAGTTGATAGGAATTTGGAATTACACACAAAATTATAGACGGCAATATATATATATATATATATATATATATATATATGTGTGTGTGTGTGTGTGTGTGTGTGTGTGTGTGTGTGTGTATATATTTACTAGTCTCGACTATATATATATATATATATATATATATATATATATATATAGTCGAGACTAGTAAAAGTGTCAAAGAGATATGTGATATCTAATACTGTTTCATGTGCCATCAGATAAAAAACAAAGATTCCTTTAAAATTCGTTGAATGCCTGAGAGAAAAGAAGACTAATCTTGTAGCAAATTCTATATTTACATCAAACTAATGGGGAAATTGTGTTTTAAATGATTTAATTGTTTCTGTGAACGAATTCAGAAAGTTCTATCTGGCCATCAAGAAAATAACGATATGATTCATCTTGCTGAGCTATAACGTGTCACGTCTGCCATGAAGACTTTCTTTCTCTTGACAGCAGCACAGCCAATAAATCATTAAAGGAAAAATCAATAACTAACGTCACAGTCATTGCATTGTGACTATCTGTTATAACGTAGGAAATGTTACTGAGTGAGGAATAACCAAAACGGAGGTTGGAAATGAAAATGGTAATCTTTATAACCTCAACAAAATACAATACTCGCCAGCGGCGTGAAGTAGGTAAACCACTGCTAATGGTGAACTACCTAGACAGCATATCATCCGCACTGACAATAGTGTCCAACGTATTTATGATGATTGGGACATACCCATTATTGCTCATAGATATGGTGTACAATACTATCAGTGTCTCATTTATTGTTGTAATAAAACAAAGAATAATGCTGAAATGATACTGAACATGGCTGAAAAGTACAAGAAAGTCGAGGATGCTTCACATTGCGCCCAAAGAAACATCCATTAAGAATGCTTTCCTTAGTATACACTTAATTATTCAATCTAGTGCCCTTATCTTAGTTGATATAGAAACTACATTTTGGCCGTTGAACTCTTCGACCTTCTTTATGTGACTGCCGTGTTTTGAAACCGTCTCTGTTTTACACTATTTACATTCTTCGGACTGTTGTCCTCATCTTCGTTGTCATATTCACACCGTTTCAACCGTTGTACGCTCAGGCCTTCTTCATGTGATTGGAATTTCAAACTGAACCCATTATCTCGTCCACCGGGGTAAATTGTTCTAATTCCACGTGCCATACCTCTTCTGGGTGTCTCAGTCAGTTACCTCCCTTTAATTCAACTTTTCAAGCAATCACTATCACTTGACTTAAAATATTTTTGCCCTTCCTTGCCTTTAAAGGAGTGCCCTTTGCCGTGCTGATGTTGCTACATGCCTTACTTCTTGCCTATCTCACACTGTGAATTTTTTCTAAGCTCTATACTAAACATTAAATCTGTTACGACAAAAGAACTAAACAAATGAACACAAAACGATCAGCTTTAAAAAAGGACTCGTGACCGGAAAACTGAATGAAAAAAGAATGTTAACAAGAAATACTTTTTTCACACCCAACCCAGTTCTGCGGAATCAGAATCAACGTTGAGTTTAAGCAAGCGAATGAGCCAATTGGAGTAAAGTGCCATGCAGATTTAAATTTTTCCCACTTGTGACGAATGCAGCTATTTTTTTTTTTTTTTTGCATGCTAGCATGCTAGTTAACATTCGTGTCAGTCATCTGTCGACTCTCACGCTGGCCAATAGAATCTTCCCGCCTATTCGTGGCAGCCAGCTATTGGCTCTCACTCTGGCCAGTAGAAAATGGCCGAAAATTACATGAAAACTGCCGTAGAAGCATGAAAAAATCGATTATTTCCACTATCGATGGGAGCTGGGAAATGCAAAATCGGTTTTGGCCTTTCCGCAAACTTGGAGCATGTGCATGTAAATTTTGGTGCAAATCCGTCGAAAATTGCGGCCGTGCATTCGTTACACACACACACACATCATGCCTTTTATAGACAGAGATAAATTTCAAAGCCTGACGAAGGGAATTAACTCGTACCTCTCATGTAACTGCATACAAGTAATGAAGGCTTATATCCAAGAGAACAATTTGGTAATAAAATTTGCAACTAATATATCTTGCCTTCCAAAAGTTAAAGAATCATGGCGTTGGAAATTTTCATTACAAACAAAGAAAAGTGTATTTAACTGTTATCTAATATCATTCCTCTTTTATGGCAATGAATTTTGGGCAATTTCCTCACAGGTGAAGAGGAAACGAACTAACAGAGATTGGTTCTACGGAAGGATGCTGGGAATATCATTGACAGGGGATATGGGCAACGTTTAAGAATCCAGAAAGAGAATCTACATACTGAGAAAAGAGGGCTTAGCGAATTTGATACTCACATGACATGTTGATCTCAATAGAGGAAAGGGAAACAGCGAGTAACAGACCTAGTGCGGTTGTTTCAATAGAGAATAGAACAGGAGGTGTCAGGGATACTAAAAAAAAAAAGGAAAACTGTGCTAAGACAGGAAGCTGTGGAAAGCCATAATCACCTACGTCCTGGATAGATACAGCACATTAAGAAGTTATTTCCAGATCAAGGTTCGAAATGGGCTTTGATTCTTTTAAACGTATTTTTCTTGTATTTTTCTCTCTTATTCTGAATTCATTCTATGGAGACCCGTAGGAAGTGTCTGAAAATAAAGTCTCTGAATTCGACATAGGTCAGTTTTAAATTTTCAAAACGAAAATTTATTCCCTTTCTTACGACTCCCGATAACGACAGTTGTAAAAGGAGAACTTATTTTACGCACCGAAATATTGAATCTTGTCTCGCTTTCTCAAGTCGATTCCAAACCAACTTGTCGAATTTTCAAGCAGCCTGTCTACTGACACAAGCCATCATTTTGTTTATCCATTAGAAGCAAGGATGAAAGAACATTTTCTCACGTGTCATAAATACATCTACAAGCATTACTGGTGAAAACAAAACCAGGCGAAAAATATTTCGGTCATAATTAAATCTTAAAATTCATGCACACACGGATGAAAACAGAGGCATTAACTTTTATCATATATATGCATAATTAATTGTCCCAGAAAAATAAATTAGACTATTAAATATATATTTTCTCTCTCCCATCTCTCTTTTACCTCCCACTCCCTCATATATATATATATATATATATATATATATATATATATATATATATATATATATATATATATATATATATGAAAGTTGGCTCCCTGTGCCGCGCCAGGAAATTTTTCTCCCCGGAATCGATCCTCCAGATCTACAAATCAACCATTCGCCCTTGCATGGAGTATTGCTGCCATATATGGTCTGGAGCACCTTCTGTTTGCCTCGGGGTTCTTGATAGGCTCCAGAGGCGGATATGCAATATAATTGGCCCTGATCTGGCATCTCGTCTACAGTCACTTTCTCACAGACGCGCCGTCGCCTCTCTCTGTCTGTTTTACAAATACTTCCATGGCAATTGCTCCGATGAGCTGCATTCGCTGGTTCCCAGACTTCATGAATTCAAGCGCCCGACGAGGCTGGCATCCCGCTCTCACCCCTTCACTGTCGAAACCCCTAAATGTAGCCGTCTCTTCTACTTCAATAGCTTCATGTCTCGCACCTCTCGTCTGTGGAACTCCCTTCCCTATTCCAGTTTCCCTGAGAGTTATAATCTCTAACTATTCAAATGTAATGTCAATCGACATCTCCAGTTGCCTTGATCTATCCACTACCCTTCTCCTCATCCTTTCTTCTATCACTCCTATCTGATCTTGCTCTAAATTTTCTGTAACCCCTTGCGTCCTAGTAGCTTCTCGCCTTGCTTGGGGTGAAAAAAAAATTAAAAAAATAATAATAATAAGGCTTAAACACTAATATATATATATTGTTATATGTTTATATTAGATTTGTAACCTGTAGTCGATATTACTTTTGTCAAATTTTCTTGATTGCACAGCGGCCCTTTTATAAATGCCCTTCGGTTTTAGTTCCCCCCACCTCATCTCCCTCTACCCACCCCTTTTTCTTTTCTTTTCCTCTCCCTTCCTCTTCTTCCTCTATGACCCCAAGTCTTAGGAAATTATGCCCACATACTCAGACAGAGTCACCCTTTAACTCGCTCGAA